TCTCGTACAAAATTGAAGCCATTATAGATTTTGGGGACATTTCGTATAATCCGTATATATTTGAGATCAGTATAGCTATGTTGTATTTAATTCTTCAAAGCAAACATTTAGATTTGGAATATATTCCAAGTCAAGTGTTGAAGGGTTATTTACAATATATGAAATTGAGCGATGAAGAGCTGAGCTTGATTAAGTTGTGTATTTGTGCTCGAGCAGTCCAGTCTATTGTAAGAGGTATTATGAGCAACAGTAGCCAATCTAATGACTCGGTTGGGTTAAAATTGTTGAATAAGTTATGGCCCATTCCAGATATTGACATTGTTAATAGATGGCGATACGGTAGTGGAAATCTTTGAACATGAATGAATCTTAGTAATATATTCGTTGACAATGAGCTCAATTCCATTAACACTCTGAAACAATATTGAACTGCTTATATTATCTGATTCAAATGTTTGTAAGAATAATAATCCTTTCGAGTGTAATAGGGTAAAAACTTTATTCTTTTTAATACTTTTTCTAAATATACTTTTTGTAAATACATATTATATCTTTATATAATTTTTTATACGTCAACGTGGAAATCTGGACGTTGCCCACGTCCGTCCACATTTCTTGTAGACACGATAGAGGCTACAATTTTTAAGCGATCTTAATGGAACTTGGTATGGCTGTATATAGTGGTAAGACCTCGGTCAAGTTCAAATTTATAATCTGATGAACGGGCTTGGGATTATTGCCCTTGACTTAGTAAAGACGCGTCAGGCAGTTTTCATTGAAATAGACGTAAGAATGGAATCAACTTTATAATAAATTATATTCTATTCTGTTGACAAACGGTTTTGGGGGATTGGTTTTAACCAATTTGATTCATTTGCAAATCTATTCGTTTGTGACTTTGCTTTGGGCAACTGCACCTGCCATCCATGATATGACGAAATTCTAATGCATCTGATGTTCTGGTTCATTTAAACCAATCAACTGTACCGTACTGCTTTGTTCTTTACATGCCCAACGGTACCTTTAATTGGTTATCATAAATTTTGGCATGATTTGAAGAAGAATCTTGTCAAGCCCATGAATCGCATGTGTAGTAACCTACAGAAATAAAAGGACGCGGAACATTTTGAACTGCGATAGAATCGGAATGGGTTTTAGCAGTAAACTTCAGTGAATCACAAACATAGAAGTGAACCCATTATTACGTCGGATTATTACAATGTAGCAAATACCACGAAGTATAAAACACTGGACAAACTTTGGATTCCTTATTCCGGAGAAAAGGCGTTTTATAATGTGAGCATTTCAAGGCTGAACAGACTCATAGGTCAAGTGGAAAGACCATATTAAATACCATTATATTGTTTTTCTTGTCATCAATCAAAATATCTCAATATAACCTCGGAGTAATGACTCCAAGATATAAAAAACACATTTATTATAACTGTAATAACATTACACTAATAATATATTAACAAAACTAACTAATCATTAACAATAATTTTAACTCAAGTTCATTCTTATAGTACCATATGAACTATACAAAAGTTTCAATCTAGCTTACTTCTGGACTTTCTTACCATTCGGAGGCAGATTAACCCATAGGCAAACTAGGCAGCTGCCTTTCGGCCCATGGAAAATTCGGCTCATGACAAATTTTTGAACAGTAAATATTATCGAACAGTTAATAAATTTCAGCAGGCCCATCGAAAATTGTCCTACTAGGAGCGTGATGTGTGAGAATCGACTAAATTGTTTGAGCCGACTGGTGACGAATGCCGATATCATGCATACGATTGATGCTGATGAGCTGATTGATCTGTTCCTGAAAAAAACAGAAAAAAACTTCCTGCCATAAAATTGTTATCACGCCCCCTCCCTAAAATGAGAAATTAGGCCCTCTACCGTTCGTTTGTCTACGGCCCAACAAGTCTTAAATCCGCAACTGCATTTCGTATTTGATATTTTAATTATGATCTAAAGTCAAAAATGAAAATCAAGAATTCCACTATTTCTTTTTAGAATTGTGAAGCTTATAAGCATGAACTACCAACAGCAAAGCTTTAACATTGGGTTTGACATTAAATTAGCCTATAAATCAAACAGTACTGACAAATCTGACATCTGACTTAACATTGTAAATATAACAGATGCCTGATTTTGGGGGGTTGATTTTAGTCTTGAAAATATGTCAATTGTCTTCAGAAGTACTAGAAATTCAATAAAAAAATGTCAATCTAGGAATTTTACCCACTATTTCTATATATGTCTGTTCTATATACAACAGAGTATCTTAAAATAAGGAGCCGTCATTTAAACATGGTTAATTCTGGACAAGCATGATGCTCAAATTTCGATCGTGAGCTGTGAACACAATTACTGATTGGCTTAGCTAAAAAAAAAATTCCCGTTTCTGAGACTAAAGTATCATTGGTCAAGAAGTATGGCGCACCTCAAGATTGAAAACTTAAAATTGCTTTGATATTTTATCGCTGTTAAGATTGGTTAAATGAGATTGTAAAGATATTTTCTGTGTTTTTTATGCTCGTACATCTTTTTTTGATGACTTCAATAAAATAAAAATATAAGCTTTTATCCTCACTTTCATGTTGATTTTAACATTATCAGAACATGACATCATGTAATATCTACATGTACATAATGTTCTGGAAATGATGCTGTGTTTTAGCTTAATTTTAGGAGAACCTGATGTTAGAAATTTATACTGAAAAGTGACACATATGTCTGAAAATGACAGATATAACTAATTTTTAGAAGAATAAAGTACCGGGGTATTTATAGTCATTTTGAACGCAATTGATTTAAATCAAGCTTAATTTCTCTTTCTGTGGTTGAATGAAAATTTGACTAGTGAAAAAGATAAAACAGGTGTACTCAACATAGTCTGTAAATTAGCTTAAGTTTAAATCTCTTTAACTATCTCCTTAAAGAAAGTTTTACTGACTTTCCAAATTTGCAGGAATATACAACAGATTTAATACCACATTCAAAATGTTCAACATTGGAAGAATAAAGTTAAAAGTAAATGCCATTCAACATCATAAATCACAGGTAAAAATCACATTGCCCACCCCCGTTTATGGGATTTACATGCACAAACTGACTTGAGGACTTCTTGTAGATTGGGTGATTTTTTTTCTTTCCAATTAGCCTCCAGATTATGGTCATTGATTTTCTCCAAATTAGGGGCACCATTCACAAGAATACCATAAAGACAAGGAATTTTAATTTTATCACTTGACACTATTGGTCCATTCCACGGATGACGTGCAACACAAAACTGTCTCAATTTGGGCATCACAAGACCATTTAAATAAAAACCACGACTTTGAGATATATCTAGAAACTGGAGCGAAGCAGACTTTAGAGAGTAAAATAAAAGCCCAGCTCCACTGGGGGTCCAAACTTCCAGAAGAAATCTTTGTAACTTTGGTAGGATTTCTAAAACACGATCTAGTAATGTTTGATCTAATGTCTTAAAGACAAAATATTTTTCCAGAACTAGAGTTTGTAGATTTTGAAGTCGTTTTAGATGTTCAACACTTGTTTCTGACCAACCAAATGGCATGATGAGAGTTTTTAAATTGGACGCAACACTTGTGAAAAAGTCAAAAAACCAAACAAACTTTCTATGTCTAAGTCTATGTAAATGTATTACATCGGATTCATGATACCAACATTTTTCTTCATACCATAAAGGCTGATTTGGGGTCTCTTTCCAATTAAGGTGGGCATAAATTAACTCTCTGCATTGAGCTGTACGTAGAAAGTTTTCTATATTAGGTAGGAATTTCGCTTTTGGGTCATAAATATCAAGTTCAAAGACAAAGCTGTGAAGTATTGGTTTTATTTGACATAAATACTCTGTAAACTGTAAGACTTTAGTCTGATATTGTTTATAACATTCATAAACACAAGTATGATTTGCCTGACCTAAACAAATTGGTGTAAAATCAGACAATGATATATGATTCCATAGTCTTGGACTTTTCAGTAAAAACAACCATTCTTTACACACAAAGCAACACCTGACTTTGGCAGTATTATTCAAATATGAGAAGACTTGTAGTTTACAATCTTCCGGTAATGCTTCAAAAGGGAAATAATGCTCAATCACATCCTCCGATAGTTCTGAACTTCCATTTGCTGTACATGCCATTTTGTTGAAGCAACACTCCGATACATTTATTCTGCTCTTTTCCTCTCCAACATCTTCTGAAAATATAGAAGTTTAGAATTACATCAAATACCAGTTTTTAGCACACACTTCAATGGTTATGAAGTTTTATTGTTTTGAATTCAATAGTGTCTCTATTACTTTTGAGCACAATAGCCGACACTTATGTATGATCAATCAATCAGCAGGATGAACCATGGAACATTGTCCAAAGACAGTACGGTACCAGTAACTGAGCTTCAGTGTAGGTACCCTACTAGTATTGTTTTTAAACAATTCTGTAATTGATGCTGAGACTAAACCAGGGATTTTCGTTTCCAAAACTTTTCTTACAAGAGTATAGGTCCCTATAGATCTGCCAAGGATTAATTCCATAAATGGACGATTGGAATAATTTACACTGTCACTGAATAGAGAGGCCAAATTGACTAAATGGCACAAGTAACTTTCATTTTCAATGTGACAGCGATACTCAGGTACTAATGCAATAAGAAAAATGCGGATTTTTGTTTATAAAGATCTGCTGGATGTGTCCCACGTTGCTGTATTAGGAGTAACTACATCTTAAATGAATAGAAGGCTATTTAATTTTAAAATTTTCCATTACCAGATTAATATTCTCCATTTCAGTCTCGATTGTCAGGCACATCGTTCTATTGACCATAGAGTAAACAGTTATATGTATTGACAGAACAACGTTAATATTCCGTCCTGATGTCAGAAGCTACTAAAAAACCACAATCACCTGTTTCCGGTTAGTTCGACAAGTTCCGTTAGTTTCCGTATATTTTGATTTTTGTACTCTCAGAAAAATTTGAATTAAGTCATTGATTAGATTCATTTATCGATAAGGTTTTATATCAAGACATTATTCTGTTTGTCTTACATGTAAATAAAAAAATCTTGATAGTCTCTTTTGTCATGTAGTAAAATTGTATTTCACATGGACTGGACGATCTCGACTACGTGGCGGGAAATTACATGCTGCAGTTTGTTATTGTTTACATTTACAATTTAGTTAGTAAACTTAAAATTGCTCATAGTCATACTTCGAATTAACTGTCTATTATAAAGATACTGAGATTAAAAGTCATGGGTAACGAAGCTAGTCAAAGTGTTAGTTTTGGAGTTAAGATAGAGAATGATATTGAACTGAACTGGAAAAAGGTTGGCAGTCCATTCCCTGCTACAAGTGGAACAACAGGAAGAGAAGGCCAGGCATCATGTTCCTTGAATTCCAAGTTCTATGTATTTGGCGGTGTATTACCTGGAGGAGAAGAAGTGGTAGAGTCAAATGATTTGTTTGTTTTTGATACAGGTATAAGGTCTATGTCCTAATATTGAATATTGAATTAACTATGAGTATTAGCTTCACATTATAGTTTTATAGACCTAGAAATAACCTAGATCTACAATGCCAGCCTAACTAAGCTTAAATGGGAAAAAAGATTGATGACATTTTTATTACCATGGAGTCACTGGCACAGGGTTAAAGCAGTGTTCACACCTTAAATTTAAACTCTAAATATGGCTGTATCTCCAGTTCCAAGACCCAGAACTGCAGAAGAATATCCTTTAATTCACCCCTAATACCCAATGCCTAATAACAAATGTATTTTATTATAGAACAATTGATTTGGGAGAAATTAAAGACAAGTGGAATTCCACCACCTGCTAGGTCAGCAGCAGTATTAGTTGGTTTAAAAGATAAATTATATTTATTTGGTGGATTGAGTCAGAATTTTGGGTGGTTTGATGATTTGTTTGTTTTTGATACAAGTAAGTATAATGATTGATGATTCATAGTGGTAGAAATAAAAAATTGTGACATTTTTTTTGGGGTGATTTTCTATAGACCATTTTGAATTTACTGATTGAAAACCTGATTGCAAGAGAATTTGTAGTATAGAAAGCTTTTAATTCATATCATTATGAATTACTATCAGGCTTTAAAAACCTCAAATATCATGTATCCAAGTCTAAAGATTCACTAAAATCCAAAAAGTATATATACTGGGTCGGTATCTAAGTGTTTAAAGACTTAACAAAATGAAAATGAACTAGATTGAAGTTTGAAGAATTTGTTTATGTTCAGAAAATAATAATTGGTCAGTGATAACTGGAGAGGGTCCACGACCAATTCCTCGAGATAAATTACAAGCTACTGTTGTTGATCAATCTATATATTATTTTGGTGGATTTGGTCCTAAAAGTGCTGATGAAGATATTTTGGTAAAGTTTCCTTTCAACTCAATTGGAAGCATTCAATAACGAGCCATTGTACAAGGCTTGTACAGAACCATGTTCACATTTGGTTAAGCCAAACTTAGATGAGTTGCAAAAAAGTTTTCATTTGTGTATTTTAGTATTTTTCTTATTGGGAAATGGCCAGATAGTAAAACTAGTTATAATTCAAAGATACCTTAACTATCCAAAGAGGGTCATATTCTCGTATCATTCTGCATAGTTAATTGCTGAAGTTTTTAGAACAATTGACATCATATGTTGAACTTTTGATTTGACACTATTATTATTATGTATATATTATTTCCAATAGGAAGATGATGATGATAATGATTATGAAGATGATGAAGGAGCTGATTTTGGATGGTTTGATGATTTATTTGTTTTCAACACAGGTTAATTATGTTATAATTACTTACATTTGGTACTCATTTAAAACTGGCAAGTTTAACTTGAAGATGTAGCATCAAGATTGTTTATTATTAATTCTGGTATAAATCTGATAAATCTTGGAATTCAATACACTTTTATTGGCTAAGACATTCCATATACATGTACTTAATTCTTTTTGAAAAGTTCTGTTAGTAGCTAAAGTAAAATATTGTTGACTATTGAGGAAAGTCAAAGAATATCACATTGTCAAACATGTATATATAACTACATGATTGATTTTAGAATCTAATAAATGGAGTCAACCCATGCAGATGAATATGGGTGCACCAACAGCAAGAGCAGCTCATGGTATGTGTTCTGTTGGTAGAAATATTGTTATATTTGGTGGTAGAGATATGGAAAGCAGACGTAATGATCTACACATATTTAATGTTGGTATGTAGTAAATCAACCAGATAATTGCCCTATTTTGTAGTTATGTCCCTTTTTCTAATTCCATTGATTTATCGCTCCTGGAAAAGATTTGGCTTTATGAATATTTAAATGATATATCTTAGCTTTAAATTCATGTCAAAATGTTTTTCAAAGATAATGGTTGTCAATATTGTTTCTTTCTTAAATATTTTAAAATAATCTGATACTTAAGGAATGACCATAACATTTTTTCAGTTTACCGATGTATACAGAGAAAAAACCTTTGACACTGTACAGGTTTATACATCGATAAACTGAAAAAAAATGTTCAGGTCATTCCTTATAATTAAATCAACTCGAATATGTGTTTAAATATTTATGTAATATAACAACAACTTGAGCCACTAAATTGGCGCATAAATACCTAACATTTTAACATAACGTTAATGAACTACCTTTATCATTCAGTGATGTGTCGATTTCGGCTCTGTTGACTTTCAAAGGAACGACATTGACACCATGTAGTGACCATGTCAATCAAACTCAATGATAAAAGTAGTCCGTTAAGGGACAGAGCTTATAGTTACATTCTGTTTACACAGATATAAACCGAATGCGAGTGACCGCTGTTAATCAATCATATTGCGTGTTAACGGAATCATGATTTAGTTATACAACTTTGAATGATGAATATTTAGATGATTAGAATACTGTGTATTTCAGACACAAGAAAATGGAATACAGAATTGAAATGTAAAGGTAGAGAACCTGAACCTAGATCATTCCATACTGTAACTGGAGTAGAAAATAGAGTGGTTGTAATGGGTGGTAGAGGAATGGATAATAATCATTTTGCTGATGTTCACATATTTGATACAGGTTTGTTTATATTGTTACATCTTAAAAATTGCAAAAATTGTATTAAAAATATTAGATGAATTATACCATCTTCTTTGGTCATATGTATCCTTTAAGGGAGGTAACTGTTGACTCAACCTTGTTAATCATATAGCATCAACTTAAAGAGATATATATAGTGATCTAATGGCCTGTTTTACCATGTAGAACAATTCAAACTATAGATAGCACTCTTCAGGAGGACTTTGTTCCGAGTATTATGATACAAGCTTTTTACTTCAGAAAAAAGTGAGTGGCTACAACCAAAAGCTACTGGAGACCTACCTCTAGGTAGGGGACAACACTCTGTGGGCCTTGCTGGTGATAGAATAGTTTTATATGGTGGATCAGCTTCCTTTAATTCAGACATAATGCAATGCACAGAACATTTTACAGACACTTTTATCATAAACAAGGGTTAGTATCTTTAATTATCACAGTGTGAAGGAATGTGTGCTTTATTATGAAAATGAAAGAGGCTGTATATAAGGATTTACATTCTATATTTAGAGGAGAGTTAGAAGACAGGTAGCTCCTTATATTTGAAATCACCGTAAAAAGGAAGTGTATTATTGTCTTAAAGTAGAGGTAAAGTTATAGTGAAAATGTTTCACTTTCTCTGGTGCATATTTCTTCTTCAAGTTCCCTGGTCTCCCTGACTCAAAATTTTATAGGATACTTGAAAACACCAATTTGGTAACTTTGAATTTTTATGAATTAAACATATATTTTTTTTTTTGCAGATGATATCTTAAAAGGCAGTTCAATTCAAACAAATGGAAATTCATAGTAACAAAATAATTATTTTATGGCAGCTGTTTTAAGATTTTTTTAAGGGTAGTCTTTCTAAACAATTAAATATTACACTTGTTTAAGTGGTAAAAAAAACTGTTATGACTTGTTTAAAGTTGAATTTACTTAATTGTTGATTTGTGTATAGTTATTATTATCATGGTTTTCCTCTTTTAACATTGCCTGTAAGAACTGTCAACAGTAAATAATTTCCATTTATGTTACTTTTAAACCAGTAGTCTATTTTTATGTTATTTAGTTATGATTTGTTCTGTGTTTAGTTTACAACCAATATAAATCATCAAAACCATTAACTGAGCATTTGAGGTGCTTACTTAGTAATATTGAATAAAGACTTGGTCAAAAGTGATGGGAAAAATCATCTAAACTGAGAGTGAATATTGGGTCTTGAATATATGTAAATAGTCTTCATGTTAATAATGTACGCATAATTCCTTCAAAAATATTTCAGATTTGGAATTTCTTTTACTATTTCTTATCCATGTCTTTTCTATATAAATTATGGCAGTGTCTTTTTAACTTTCAAAGGTGAATAATTCTGGACACACATGGATTAAAAATCTCAAATTCGATGTGAACACTTTTTCTGATTTGGCTTAACTAAAATATTCCTGTTTGATATGATTAAAAATAAATGGCACACCTGTCACTTAAAGTATCTTTTCCATTTTTGCATATTAGACTTTTCTACTATGCATCATTTATAAGTATTGTATCCTTTTTTAAAAACTCATCTGAATTGCTAAGGTTTCATGTGTATTTTAAACCATTTTTAAGAAAGTTATGGTGGACGTAGAAACGCAACTGGGAAAACCCAAGATCAAGTTTAAATGGAGAGATACGCCATTTTTTTTACAAATCATACCTTAGTCTCAGAAACAGGATTATTTTAAGTTAATCCAATCAGTAATAGTGTTAATAGCTCACCGTCGAGATTTAAGTCTTCAAATCGACACATGTCTACTGTTATCTACCTTTGAAAGTTATGAAAAGACGAGTCAAGACTCTAAATCAATCGTCAAAATGGCAAATCTGTCCCTTTAAATGAATTTAATGAAGTTTTACTTGTAATGAGAAAATTTCTCAAGGATAGCAGCACAAGTCTTCACTTGGTTTATTGTCCCATCTGAATGACTAGGCACGTTTACCATGTCAGCACGTCTAACCTGCGTCACTGAGGATGGAAAACCAATTGAAAAGATTAGCAAGAAAATGTCTGAGATGCCCCATGAAAATTGAGATAGGTTTAGTTTTTTTATATACCAAAATATAGCTTTAATTGTCATTCTGCAGATTTTCAAAAACTATATCCGAGCAACTGCCATGAATGTGACATTTTACGTCGTGCCGATATCTCATCCGTAACTTATGTCCGAGGACCGGAGATATGTAGGGCTAAATTCAAGTAAGTACTCCCCCACCTTTATCTTTCTCTTTATCGGTGTTTTTTAAAAACAAGTTTTCGGATTGACGAATAAACCATTCTGTGAGAATTTACACCTAACCTCTCGTTTTTCATTATTAAAACTGTAGAAAATAAACACCAGTTAAAATACTGTGAAGACTTATTCCTATGACATCGTCTACATACTTCGAACCAATCTCATAGTCTTGGAGGGGAACAGCCATCATAAGACCCAAATTTTGCCGATTTAGTCGATTAAACTTTTATAAATGCAGAAGTCAAACGAAATCCATGGACAAGAATAAAAGGGCCCCTGTATCATGCAGAAAAGATCAAATTTCACGCTTTTTTATGCGCCCACATTTCTCTATGTGGACGTATATTGTCGGCACCCCTGTCCGTCCGTCCGTCAACATTTGCTTGTAAACGCTCTAAAAACTAGATTTTTTGATGGAATCAAATCAAATTCGGTATGTGTATACATATTCTTCAAAATTATTGTAAATATAAGACCGTGTTAGATACAGAAAGATATTTATCATATAATAGTATGGCAAATAAATTTAAACATGCCTTATGTAAATTTCGATGTGGTAGTTATTTGTTCAAGTCTGTAGAGTGTAAATGGTCAAATCGTCTAAATGAAAATATTTGTAAACTATGTACATTAGGGGAAGAAGAAAATGAAGTGCATTTTTTACTGCAGTGTAATTTATATCAGAGTTTAAGAGAAGAGTATCTAAGGCAGTATATATATAAAAGTTCTTCACATGAACAAAATTTTGTAAATATCTTAGGAAATCGAAATGTATCCACTATTATAAATGTATCTAAATATATCTATTATGCTTGGAAAAGAAGGAAAATTGTATATAAAACTTTATTGTAAATACATGACAAATATTCATTTGCTTTGTTTCTTAAATATATTTATTTATTTATCAACTTATTGTCACTTATATATTATTGTAAAAATTTATATAAATTTTGTACTTTGGCCGAAAGGCTTGTATGCATGAAAGATATTAAATTATTATTATAGATATTCATAAAACGAAGATCAAGTTCGAATTTGAGCTATTTTCGACCGTTAGAAGCAGAGTTATTGCCCTTACCCCAAAATCTTGAATATGCTATTACTCTCTTAGTTTTCAACCGTTTTTGACGAAACTTAAAATGGATGTTATTGGACCTAAATCGAAAGGTTTGAGAAAGTTTAGTTTACTTCTGATTAAATTTAAGCCTTTTTCAAGATTTAGGCCTCTTACGTCACTTTGAGGAGTTATCGCTCTTTTTAAAAACAAGTTTTCGGATTGGCGAATAAACCATTCTGTGGTAATTTACATCTAACCTCTCGTTTTTCATTATTAAAACTGTAGAAAATAAACACCAGTTAAAATACTGTGAAGACTTATTCCTATGACATCGTCTACATACTTGAATGATATAATGTAGCAAAACATGCTGGTTGCTTGTATTGTGGTGTTATTGTAGATTCACCATTTTCGGGGGTTGATTTGGTTCTTGAATATATGTGAATAGTCTTCAGGAGTAAAGGATGTAAAAAAAAGATCACATAATTCCTTCAAAAATGCCTTAAACTAGGAATTCCACTTTCTATTCAGTTGATCAATATCTTTGGTTACCATGAACAATATTAAAAGAGATTAGCCGTGATTTTAACCTTTGATTTTATTAGTTATCTTATCACTTGATCATTGTTATATAACACTTTTTGAAAATTACCCCGAAATCTTGAATATGCTATTACTCTCTTAGTTTTCAACCGTTTTTGACGAAACTTAAAATGGATGTTATTGGACCTAAATCGAAAGGTTTGAGAAAGTTTAGTTTACTTCTGATTAAATTTAAGCCTTTTTCAAGATTTAGGCCTCTTACGTCACTTTGAGGAGTTATCGCCCTTTAACCTCTATACAGTAAGTGCTTCTGTCAACATCAATTGCTCGTAAACACTCTAAAAACTAGGGTTTGAAGGAATCAAATGAAATTCGGTATGTGCATACATATTCATGAAACGAAGGTCCGTCCGTCCGTCAACATTTGCTTGTAAACGTTAGAAGCCGAGTTATTGCCCTTGCCCCAAAAACTTGAACATTTACCATCCGCATGCCGTAGTGGGCGTATATGGCTTTGGTCCACTATCTTTTAACATATTATTTCATTTTCATATCAAGTTGACCAAATACAGCCTTATATTTTAAAGATGCAAAACATTTTAGAGCAGTAAAAACTCATCATTTGCACACCTGTATTTCCAACCCATCTCCATATATAGCCATTATATGACGTCACGTCAGGTATCGACAACTCGGGCCTTTCCGGAAGGATTTGAACTTCCGTTAACTTTATCGAGTTGCTTGAGAAAAGTGTTTCGTTCATAACCAAATAAAAACAATTGACGACCCAGTTTTATATTGTGACATGATTATTTCAAAATGGTATGAATATATGAAGCGAAATTTGTGAATATTTCTAGTAAGGATAGTAGTTAACATATACGTCAAAAATGGTGAGTTATAACGGGGCATTATAACTGTATGGTATATTGCCAATAATTCATATTCATAGTGTAGGATGATAACACACCCGGTCGTGTATGGTTTAGGCATCTAGTTGACATAAATATGTAATAAAACTAAATGACTAACGTGTGATAAAATCTGTATGACATATCCTTACTTAGACAATTGTTTATAAATTTAAGTATTGTAAATATATTGTCGTTTATGTGATAATCATGCTTTTCTCAAATTAAATAAAGCTTGTTATAAACTAAGTCAGATTGAGATTAAAAGTGCTAAAATCAGCAATACTTGCAGATATTTGTGTAGCCGGCCAATATAGTTTGGGCTAAGATACCTGTATTACTTATCAAAATGAAAATATTTGATATATCTGACATTATATTGTTTAGTTTTATCGGATATAGAAAATAGGTTTGAAATACACATAATAAAATTGTTTTTTCATTTTTTACTAATTGGACCCTTTTTGGCTTTTCTGACCCAAGACATTGTAATACTGACCTTTTTTTAAGATAATTTCTCTGCATTTGTCAATGTTTTGAAGAAGAAAACAAAACAACTTGGACCAAAGACAAACACTTGATATAAATCATGGACCAATGTAAAAGACAACTCAGACCATTTTTATATGACATTGACCAATGTTAATAGACAACTTGGACCAGTTTTTGTTTGACCTGAAGAAGTTGTAACCAATCAAAAAAATCAGTATCAACTTATATATATTCTGAAATACATGAAATAAACTTGAAACATAGGAATGAAAAGTGATAAAAGGATATTTTTGATGTAACCAAACTGTAAATAAGTACAGGATTTCTTGTCGTTAGCACAGTAGCCTAGAGCTATATAGTTAATATAAAATCTATTCTCACCTAATAATCCATATCAAAATGTTCAAATTGATGTAATTGATATGTCATTAATCATTCCTAATTAATTAGACGCCCCTGAAAAATTTTTCACAGGTTACTGTTTTTCTGTTAAATTTTTTTGACTTGGGTTGTTATCATAACATGTAGGACTGATAGTAGTGTCCATCCAACCATGTTTAATTTCTATATATTTGGGTTTGGATAATATCCCAGCTACCAATACTCATCTGGTCCAGGTCTGATATAGCTCCTGCTAGATTTGTGCCCATCCCTGCCAAGCTGAGTATTGTTAGCTGGGACAAGGTTTGTACAAGACAGATAAGTTGTTTCAAAGATTCTAATGACTGAAAACCTATTTGTAAAATTTTATTACTTTTATGGCTTGTAGTATGTTAATTTCCTCATTTCATTTGCTGATGTGTTTGTTTAGTCTTTTCTATATTCAACAAAATTAGACTAATTATAAGAATCATAATGTTGATAATTTTTTTTATCCAATCTGAGTAGATTTTTCATATGAAGAGGTTTACCCTTCCTGTTACTGTAAAGAATAATATTTCAATGGTATACAATTACACAGATATGTCAAAATCATATACATCACAGTAGAATGATTTTGATGGTATACTACACAATACATAATCTTGTTATGTTTAATTAAAACTATGAAAATTTTAATGAATAAAACTGAAATGGCAATGAAAGAACTGAAAACCCTTCCAAATTCTGTCTTCAAACTCTAGATTTTTTCCCTATCAAAAGTTTTTGTGCTAAACACCTATTTTATTTATTTCAGCCTTACCATTGGCAGAGTCACAATGTTAAAACCAGTGGGGTGGATGACATGGTTCTTCTACAGAAAATATCAGAAGCCGCCATAGTAGACAATTTAAAGAAGAGGTTTATGGAAGATTGTATTTATGTATCCTTTTGTCATAATTGTTTATTATTCATCACAAACAGAGGTTTTGATTAAAGTTTATTCAAGAGTGACTCATATGAAATCTTCTTTGAGATATGACAATGTACTGTAGCTAACAATTTATCATGGTGAAATTATTTCAGATTTGAAATTGAATGTTTTAATATCTAACAACATCTAAATATTTTCCATGTCACAATTTTTTAAATTCAACTGAAAGGTTTATAATTCATTAAACTCTTTTTCAATTTCTGTTTATTTGTGTAATGCCTTTTCTTTTATGTTCTATTTTATATTCCTCTTTAACACATTTAAAGTGGCCGTGGGCTCTTATTTACTTAACATATTCTAAAATATTATTCTATAGTCTCAAAGAATAATTTAAAACAGAATTGCATTATTTTTTTCATTTATTTTTTACTCCCTCTGTTGATGTTAATGATAAAACCAAAATTAATTTTACAAGTGGTTGACAAGAAATTTGACAGAATTCTTGCTACATTGAAGACTTTAATAAGAGTCAGTGTTGTTGAAGAGAAAGATACAGGTTGCTAGCTGTAAGCTATTTTACAAGACACATAAATAGCCATTCCATTTCTCTTAAAACAATCTTACAAACCTGAAATCAATTTTAAAAGTTAGTTTTATGTTGACTTGTTAAGTCTAGCTGTAATGAACTATATAGACAATATATCTGAATGGATAAACGGGGAAGGGAAATGACTGTGTTACAGACAAATTTTCTCCTTTAACCTTTAAGCTGTTAAAATGATGGTTATCTTTCCTGTGTTAAAACTTTCTCTGAAAAATACGTATAATTCTTTTTAAAGAAACAATCCACTTTTTTTGAAGATCCGGCCGTTAATTTTTTAAACACCAAAAATATTTAAAAACATTATGGAAGGTTTTAAAGTTTGTCATGCTTTTTGAAGGCTGTTGAAAAACTACTGTTTGGATTTGAGTAAAATTGTAGAGAAATATGTCTCAACTAATAATATCGAGCCATTATAAAGCCGAACACCAAAACTAGGTCAAACTGCTTAATTAACAATAAGTACTCTTCGTTTTCAATTAACCCTTTTAAAACACATTCAGTTTGATTAAGAAGATACATAGATATAAATAACATAAACCTTTTACTAAAAAGTAGAATACCCCTTTAAAACCTTCATCCACCAACACCAAGTAGTGTGCAATGAGCTCAAATTAACCTTTACAGTGGCATTAGTCTTCTCTTCTTCCGATTTCCAACTTTTGGGCACAACATGTAACTCCCCGTTTATTCACGGTTTGAAAAGCCTGAATGTGTAATCTCAATTTTCCAGGATTGAACCCCAAACATCTACGTAAGCATTATCAAGCAAGTACATATTGCTCTCTGAGGCTTGTTCGACTCATTGAAAAATGTTAAAGAGAACCTAACAGATTTATATTGCTCAAATTTAGAGGTTGTTGCTGGTAAAATTGTGACACATTCAGATCAAATCTGTATACATGTATATACTTTTTGAAAATTTCAATGCACTCAAAATTCATAATAAGTTTCATCCGCTCAGAGCGTTATTGCATGTAAAATTAACTGTGTTGAGAATGAGAAAAAAAAACATTTCTTTTGAATCAGAAAAATAGAACACTTCTATCAAATTGAAGATAATAAATTGACATAAAGTAGAATAAACAAAAATATGATTGTGATTATGAATTAAATAATTCACTTCCCTGTATGATAAAAGTTTGATTTGAAAATTCTTCCTGATTCAATTAATAGTCAATAATGTCCTTTGATATTCTAGTTGCAATGATTTTTACTTGGTCATTGATGAAATGGGGGGAATATAGTGGCAAGTTTGTCTTACTTAACAAAAAGCATCATGAGTATGTTGCAATGCTCTGTCTTTGAAATGGTATTTTCAAACTGCAAATCTACATAAAGAATTCAAATATCTTATATATTGTGTCAATAACATTGGAGATATATAGTATTGAAATTTTGGTTGATGGCCAAAAATGTGTGTACGCGTATTATTACCTCTGTGAATACTACATTATTTGAAACTTGAACTGCCACTTTCCCAAAAAACAATTATGTCCAACTTTGGCTTGTCATTAAAACCATGATACTGCTAAAGTTTTTATGGTAAAAGTCCAAATATTGAGGGAAGGAAAGAATCAACAGTTGTTGTTTTTGTTTATTTGTTGATTGGTTGATGGTAGCTTTGATTAGCTGTAACATTTGTGTGATGTTGATAAACAAAGTTGGGGTATAAGTTCTCTGTGTTTCACCTAAATCTTTCTTAATACTACTACAATCACATCAAATAATAGTCTTTTCTCTATAACCTTTATTTCTATTGAAAGGAAATTGAGAGGTTTCTTACACCAAGGTACGTTAAGGTACTATGGTCAGAACCTGTCCTTTTAACTGATAACTGCTGGTAGGATATATAGTTGCTGGTGGTCAATAACTGATTCATAAATAACCTGTTATATTATAAAGGCTAAGGTCTAAAGATAGATGTGGACATGTAGTAAAGGAGTACTAAATAGTTGTAGTATATATTATAATAGATATAGGCCTATAAGTTGTCAAGAAGTAAATGAAGAAAAAATCCTCTTCACTAATCTTATTTACTTATACTTATCTTTAGACCACCAGAATGGCTAGTTAATTTTCTCCATTTATTTATAATCAGACCATTTTGAAATTGTTTTTTATTTATTATAGTATATTTCTACATGTTTCATTTCATGTTTGCTTAACATGTTCTTTAAATCATGTTGTGTCTATTTTTTGTCAGTATTTATCAGTTTATGGAAGCAATCAAAAAAGTGGGCTGACAATTAAAAACAAACTCTAAACAAATCTTTACAGATACAGCTTTAATTCATTGATTGGTTATAACTTTTAGTCACCTAAAATCAACAATTTCTTTAGGTGATGGATGGCATGTAGAGTCACCAACTGAAAAGGAAGGTCTTAAATTATATTATAATCAAATGCAGGTTTAGCTTATTATAGGCCTGATATTCTCATTGGGGGTTTGGTGTGTAAAGTAGTATGTTGTAAACAGGGGAAAATCACACTCGTTGAGCCTATTTTATCTTATATTTATATTAGTAAGATACATTAATATGTTTTCTGTATATCAAACTTTCCTTTGTAAAATATTTTGAATTTTTGACTAATCGTATGATGTTGAACTTAAAAAGTGCTTGTTGTTGTCCAAACACCTACCACCCCGAGATTGTTTTCTCAGCTTTCCATACAAACATTTGAAAATACCAAACTTGATCTTTCATTTCCCTCCCTATTGTTCTATATTTTACTTTTTTATCAATTTTCCAAGTTTTGTGTTATTTTTCAAATTTTGTCCATTACTGATGTGTCATGAATGGCATTCCAGCAGTTGAGGAGCTCTGATTTACAGAAATGAACAATTGACCTTAACAGAGTATTTAGACTTATATAGGCCCTGTATTAGTTTCAGTTAATCCATTTAAACAGTTGCAGATTTATTCTGACAGGGAAATAGAGTTTTATCAAGGAGCAGTAAGTTTTAGACTATATCATTCTTCTAGATGAAATTTGAAGATTTGAAGAGCCATATCGAGATAAATATCTGAACTTCTTCAGACTTTTTGAACTGGATTTGCTTTCTCCCTTGTTTGTAATAAAGAGTATGCATAGGAAAAGTTCCAAAGACCATCATAGCAGAAGGACAACTATATCAATATTAGCCAGTGTCCTGTCAAAATTCTATCATTGTACACTGCAAGTAGTTGCCTCCCATTATAGTTGGTATAAGAAGCCAAGAACCTATTGCTTTTAGCAAATCATTGATTCTGTATAATCTCTGTTTTATTTTTTTAGGCCCAATATGAGAATCCACCCCACGTATTTGCGTTAACAGATAATATGTATCGTAATATGTTAATTGAGATGGAGAATCAATGTGTTATTATCAGTGGTGAATCAGGAGCTGGAAAAACAGTAGCTGCCAAATATATTATGTCTTATATAGCTAAAGTTAGTGGTGGTGGACCTTTAGTTCAGGTTAGTTGATAGTCTTTTTCCGGATCTGGAAATTCTTGTCTGACAGATTCTTCTTCTTCTGATTCAGATTCAAAACTGATGTATCTTTTCGCCATGTTTTTTTTTTTTACGCCTACATTAAATGGGGTGCGTATATTGGCCTCACCCATGTTCATCGATCAAGAGGTGATAATTAACAGGACTCCAATTAATAAAAAGGAAATGAATTCACTTTAATTCAACATTTTTTTCTTGGATGTGGATCAAATTTTTCACAGGAGCGGAAAATATTGAAAAACTTTTATATTTTCATTTCAGAGAGTAAAAGATATAATATTAGAATCTAATCCATTACTAGAAGCCTTTGGTAATGCTAAAACAGTGAGAAATAATAACTCCAGTAGATTTGTAAGTTTGTGGTTGAGATATAACCATGTTATATACTAATCATGTGGTTATAGATAATCAAATTTTATACTATGATCAAGTGGTTAACATATATCCATGATGTTATATTATAATCAAATTGTTATTTTATAATCTTATATTATAATCAAGTGGTAAAAAAATTTTTCCATGATGTTATATTATGATAATGATATTAGAAATAGAAGTATTGAAATTATTAAAAATAATTATTATAAATATTAATTATTGTAATAATGATGTAATATTATAATCATATTGTTATATTATATTCATATTGTTATATTATAATCATATTGTTGTATTATAATCATATTGTTATATTATAATGATTTTGTTATATTATAATCATATTGTTATGTTATAATCATATTGTTATATTATAATCATATTGTTATATTATAATCATATTGTTATATTATAATCTTATTGTTATATTATAATCATATTGTTATATTATAATCATATTGTTATATGTTAATCATGTGGTTATCTCTTATCGTGTCGTTTGTTATAGGGTAAATATGTTGAAATACAGTTTAGTAGAGGTGGTGAACCTGATGGTGGGAAAATCTCTAATTTCTTACTAGAAAAGGTATGGAATAGTTTAGATTATTTAATTTACTAAAGCAACAAAATGTGAAAGGGATTGTAAACCTTCATATAATTTGTGAAATTACTATGGAAATTATGCCATATAATGGAAAAAACCGTTAAAAACATTAGTTTGTTATGCTTTTTGAAGGCTGTTAGAATACTAGAGTATGGATTTGAGTAAAATAAACTCTCAATTGTAGAGAAATATGTCTCCTACGTACTCAAGAAGTTTAGAATGACAATATCGAGCCAATATTCAGGCAAACACCAAAAACTAGGTCAAACTGCAAATAAACAATTAGTGCTCTCCGGTTTAATTAACCCTTTTAAAACAAATTCAGTTTGATCAAGAATATACATAGATATTAATAGGATATTTTAGAAATATTTTCAGGTATAATTCATGTTTTGGTATGGAAAACTTTTAACAAAAAAGCAGAATATTACATTAAGGACCAAAAAGAATAATCTGACATTTCATACTGTAATAAATCATTAAGAACTTAATAATAATAGGATTAATAATTGTTGTATTTTTCAGTCTCGTGTAGTTAGTCAAAATATAAAAGAGAGAAGTTTTCATATATTTTATCAAATATGTTCTGGGGCTACTGCTGAAATGAAAGGTAAGTAACTTTAATCAATGTTTTTTTGCTGACAAATCCATGTATTGTCATTGAAATATATAATACCCCAAGAGAGACAAAAATTGGGGAAGCAACTATTTCTTTAAAGATAAAAACTATGAAGACAACTAATATCAACAGTCTTAGAATTGTTTCATACTTTTATGATTGTCCCAATGAGTATAGGCCTATTGATGTGAACATGGCAAAGTGTGGCTTTGGACAACCTTGAAACTTTGGGATCATATGTAACGTATGCTGCCGAATTTAAAAATAAAGCAGAACTGAAATTTATTATAGTGTTTTATCATTTTGACTGACTCTCATTGTATCCTTTATTACAGAAAATTTAGGTATAAGTCATCCTGAATATTATTATTATTTAAACCAATCAGCGACTTATGATGTTGAAGGTACCAATGATTCACAGGAATTTCAAGATACTTTAGTAAGTTTTCACAATTTACTAGTTCCATTGTTAAGTTAATTTCAGTACCATAGTAAAATAGTAAAACTTTTCCTTTTTATCTGAAAGGCTTGGTTGAAATGTGGTTGAACTAATTTTTGAACTATTTTGTACTTTATTGATGGAAAAATGAATATTGTAGAGAGGTACAATAATAAAAAATATTTTCACTGTTAAAAATTTCTATTGTAGAGGGCTATGCAGGTAATTGGTATAGCAGATAATACTCAGATGGATATCATGTCATTAGTAGCAGGAGTTATGCACCTTGGTAATATCAGTTTTGAAGAAAGTGGTAATTACGCTGTAGTTTCTAATGATGAATGTGAGTATGAACTTAATTTTCATAGGTTTGTCTTATTATTTTCCTTGAAGCCAGTATGAACACCTGCTTAATGTGAGTGAGACTTGATATGCTTAAAGGGACAGGTTTGATATTTTCGTGGGTTGACTTGGGTCTTGAATATTTGTATATAGTATTTAGAAGTACTAGAAATGTTTGAAAATCGCATAATTCCTTTAGAAATACTTCAAAGTAGGAATTTTATTCACTATTTCTATAGTGGTCTTTTCTATATATCACAGAGTATCTTAAAATAACAGGTCGACACACATGGATTTGGAGTCTCAAATTTTTCGATGGTGAGCTGTACACTATTACTGATTAGCTTAGCTAAAGATTCCAGTTTCTGTGACTGAGATACGTATGGTCAAAAAAAGGCACACCTATTCCTTTAATAACATATACAAAAAATGATTTTCAGTTTTAGAGTTTCCAGCGTATCTGTTTGAAGTAGATAAAGAGTTATTACGTGATAAATTAACTGGGAGAATCATGGATAGTAAATGGGGTGGCAAGTCAGAAAGTATTGAAATGAAGTTAAATGTTGAACAAGCAGAATATACTAGAGATGCCTTAGCTAAAGTTTTATATACAAGACTGTTTGATTATTTAGTAACAGTAAGTTCATGTCCACTTTTGGTTTTGATATTGCCTCATGTGATATCATGTTAAGTGACACAATTCAGATAGGTATTAAGTGTGACATAAGGCAAATTTCAGTTTATGTATGTTGCCATTGTACTTACTTAGATGAATTTTAGTTCGGATTATATATGATACTTATCGTTTAATTGTTCTTAGTTATTTCCATATTTTGTCTCATCGGAATCAGATTTCATTCAGATCAAATCTATTTTCTCATTATATTTCTTCTGGAATGGTGAAGTAAGGTGAGATATTGACTTTATTGTCAAGATTTGAATTCTGTAGTGTATTGCAGCATATTAATGTGTGTCAAGCATGTTATAATTTGTATATTCAGATAAACTGTTTTCAATGTGATTATGCATAGTCTTTTAGAAATAAGTTTCTAACCGTATTCTTGCCGCTAACTGTCAAGTTATCTCTACAGGCCAGGTAGTGGTCCAAACTTTTGCCAAATTGTACAATGGACTATATCTTAAAATGTGTCTCTATGTATCTATTTATAGTCTGTAAATACAGCCATGCAGAAAGATACAGAAGAAGTCAACGTTGGAATTTTAGATATCTATGGTTTTGAGATCTTTCAAAGAAATGGTTTTGAACAGTTCTGTATAAATTATGTTAATGAGAAATTACAACAAATTTTCATTGAATTAACTCTAAAAGCTGAACAGGTAGGTTAGAAATCTTTTTGAATATTCATTTCAGAATTACATATTAAAGCACAAAAAGTCTGGAAATGTTAAAGATCAAAGAAGGGATTCCAGTCCAATGCAATCAAGCACTCAATGCTATGGTCAATGAAATTATTAAATTTCTCACCGTTTCCATCATTTACTCCAGTAGATAAATCTAGGACATGTCATTCTTTTCAGTTTTATTTCATAACATACATTCTGTATCTGTCCTCAACACCCTTTGACCATATAAACCATGGGGAAACTTAAATCATAATGGAAAACAATGGTATTTTAAAGTAAATAAAGGGATAAACATATTAATTTTGATATAACAATTTTTGATATAAAAGATAATACTTCATGTATTAAAAACTATTATGTTTTATTCCACCCATTATTAATATAGGAAGAGTATGTACAAGAAGGTATAAAATGGTCACCAATAGAATATTTTAACAATAAAATTGTCTGTGATTTAATAGAAGAAAAAAGACCACCTGGTATTATGTGTGTATTAGATGATGTGTGTGCTACTATGCATGCTGTATCTGAGGGTGCTGATAGTAAATTCTTAGGGGTAAGTCGAGTAAATTCTTAGGGTAAAGTCGAGTAAATTTTTGGGGGCATGTTGAGTTAATTCTTAATGGTATGTCAAGTAAAATTTTAGAGGTAAGTCAAATAAATTCTTAGAATAAGTTAAGTGAAATATTGGGAATAGGCTGAGTTAATTCCTAAGGGAAAGTAAGTTATGTAAATGGTTTTTATAGCACTACATGTTCAAATACTTTCAGAAATTACAAGGAGCAGTAGGAAATCATGAACATTATCAGGGTGCCAATGATGGCTTTATCATTCACCATTATGCAGGCAAGGTAAGTAAATAACGATTTCTCTACAAAGTCACATCTAAATCTAAAGAAAGTTATACAAAGGCTTTACTTATCCAAATTCCAATAAATTTACAAAAATTTTTTAGAGAATATAAATAGCAGAATTGAACTTGATAATATATATAGTTGACTTGAACTTGATAATATATATAGTTGACTTGAACTTGATAATATATATAGTTGAATTGAACTTGATAATATATATAGTTGAATTGAACTTGATAATATATATAGTTGAATTGAACTTGATAATATATATAGTTGAATTGAACTTGAGAATATAAATAGCAGAATTGAACTTGAGAATATATATAGTTGAATTGAACTTGATAATATATAATAGTTGAATTGAACTTGATAATATATATAGTTGAATTGAACTTGATAATATATATAGTTGAATTGAACTTGATAATATATATAGTTGAATTGAACTTTATAATATATATAGTTGACTTGAACTTGATAATATATATAGTTGAATCGAACTTGATAATATATATAGTTGAATTGAACTTTATAATATATATAGTTGACTTGAACTTGATAATATATATAGTTGAATTGAACTTGATAATATATATAGTTGAATTGAACTTGATAATATATATAGTTGAATTGAACTTGATAATATATATAGTTGAATTGAACCTTATAATATATATAGTTGACTTGAACTTGATAATATATATAGTTGAATTGAACTTGATAATATATATAGTTGAATTGAACTTTATAATATATATAGTTGAACTCAGATCATCTTTAATATTGTAATATATAGATGCTGTTACTGTAAGCTATGTGCTAGCCCTTCAGAAAGTGGAATCGTTTATTGGCAAGAATTATAATGTTTTATAGGTTACGTATACTGCTGATGGATTTTGTGAAAGAAATAGAGATGTATTATTTTCTGATCTGATACAACTGATGCAATCAAGTGAAAGGTAAGACCTATCAGAGATAACATTTAAATTTCTAAGTTCTTTCCAATTAGAATTTAAGAGATTGATAATTATTCTAACCTAATACTTTAGTGTGTGATTAATTTAGCTGAATTTTCACCTCAACCTTGTGCTTTTGTAATTTCAGTTATATATTGTTGTTACAACCACTCTTGCCTTATGTATAATATTTCATTAACAAATTCAAAATGAATAATCCTTATAAGTTCCCAAACTTGTTTTTTTTAAGAAGAAATTGACTAATATGAATTATTTATAGAAAGTTTATTGCTCAACTGTTCCCTGAAAATGTTTCCTCTCAAACTAAAGGCCGTCCAACTACTGCCAGTTCCAAAATCAAGGTAGGTTTTATTCCACATTCTTTGGGTCGTGGTCCAAGACATCTAATTCAAATTCTGTCAATTTTTGTAACATGGGCATTTATACCAACACGACCTCATCAAATAGCAGATAACAAGTCAAATTTCTAAAAACTTAGCCAGTTTTCAGACAGTGTCTTGTCTGTACACAATTCCAGTGAAATTTGTGTATGTGTTTTAAACAAATGTTCGAGCAGAACAGAAGGTTTGAATTAATTTGATATGTAAATTATAACTCTTTTTTTATGTTCTTCTTCAGACACAAGCTAATAAATTAGTAGAAACATTAATGAAATGTACACCACATTATATAAGATGTATTAAACCCAATGAAACTAAGAAAGCTAGAGATTGGGAAGATAGTAGGTAGGAGAGAGTATATATTTGAAATATTCTAGGGTGACGCTCAATAGTAGAGTTCTGAACAGGTTCTGTCTGTTCTTATTCTGGCTTCAATTGAATGGTACAGAAACAAATATGATAAATTCGAAATTTTCCAATCTATTTCTTTCTCCACCATTTTGAGTTCTGCCAGCATCTACTACTTTTTGGCACAAATGGACTGCGTTCTGAACCCTGCTCCAACAATTCCAATTTTACAGAATTCTCTAATTCAGCAACCCCTTGGTATTTTCTATTTTAACTGTCTGACCCAGTCTTTGTTTTGATGACTATTTGTTTGACAGCAGCAGAAAAAAAGTGTGACATCTGTATTGTACAATAAATCCAGATATTTAGCTGCAGTGTAATTTTGTGATCAGAATTGAAAAATTCAGCTGTGTTAATGATAAGGCTAAACATCAGGCCAAGACATGTAGCTGTCTGATTTAGTAGCTGACTGCATGTATAGATCATAGTCTGCTTTTCATGGACAGAAATATTCTTGAAATCAAGTGTTATTTATCAGGATTGAGATGAATGTTTTTTTTTGACAGAGTGAAACATCAAGTAGAGTATTTAGGTTTGAAAGAAAATATTCGAGTAAGAAGAGCTGGCTTTGCATTTAGAAGAGAATTCAAAAAGTTCTTGAAAAGGTTAGAATGAACTATATAAAATTTTGTAGATTATAGATATCATATTTTTAATTTATGTGAAAAGAAATATTTTAATGCAGAATTTTATGAAATTTTAAGTGTTGGTTTAAATCAATAATATCTTGGATAAGTTAGATTTTTGGTAAGATTTGACACAGGTTGACAACATATAATATGACAACCTATATATTTTATAATTGTAGATATAATGTTTTAATCTATGTTATATAATTGTAGATATAATGTTTTATTCTATGTTATATAATTGTAGATATAATGTTTTAATCTATGTTATATAATTGTAGATATAATGTTTTAATCTATGTTATATAATTGTAGATATAATGTTTTATTCTATGTTATATAATTGTAGATATAATGTTTTAATCTATGTTATATAATTGTAGATATAATGTTTTATTCTATGTTATATAATTGTAGATATAATGTTTTAATCTATGTTATATAATTTTAGATATAATGTTTTAATCTATGTTATATAATTGTAGATATAATGTTTTAATCTATGTTATATAATTGTAGATATAATGTTTTAATCTATGTTATATAATTGTAGATATAATGTTTTAATCTATGTTATATAATTGTAGATATAATATATTAACTCCTGAAACTTATCCTGAATGGCGTGGTGATCCTAGACAAGGGATTACACATTTAATGAATTCTGTCAATATGGATCCAGATCAGTTTCAAATGGGAAAAACAAAAGTTTTTATCAAAAATCCTGAATCGGTAAGGAGAATGGGTCAGAATTTATCTTGTAGTTCTTGTTTTCTTTCCAAATTTTTTTTTTAGTTTCTTTCCATCTGAATTGGTATATTATGTGAAGTATATTACCTCTCATTTGTGTCTGCTATTCTATTATAGCTATTCTTACTAGAAGAAATGCGAGAAAGAAAGTATGATAAATATGCCAGAGTTATACAGAAGGCTTATAGAAAACATTATGCATGGAAACAGTACTATAAACTTAGAGAGCAAGGTCAGTGTTAATAAATTTTTATTTCTTAAGTGTAATATCAATTCATTGATCAGCACCTTACATAGCAAATCAAGAGGAGAAAATTCCAGTCTATTAGTTGTAACAGTTCTATCAATAGTAGATATTTCAAAATCTTACACACAGTTAGATATACTACCAGTAAAGAACAAGATTTCAATATTTGTCCCATTTAAATTTCTTTCGTCTGTCGTCTTACAATTATCTGATGTAACTCACTGATGATCTCAGTACTCTTGAATGTATATATAAACAGGAAGAATATATTTCCAATAATCAGTTGTTATGGTTTAAAGTCTTGTGTTTATTCTAGCATGTGATATTTAGTTGTTATAATTAAAAGTCTGGTTTTTATTCTAGCATGTGATAATCAGTTGTTATGTTAGCATGTGATAATCAGTTTTTATGGTTTAAAGTCTTAATTTATTTTAGCATGTGATATTTAGTTGTTATAATTAAAAGTCTTGTTTTTATTCTAGCATGTGATATTTAGTTGTTATAATTAAAAGTCTTGTTTTTATTCTAGCATGTGATATTTAGTTGTTATAATTAAAAGTCTTGTTTTTATTCTAGCATGTGATATTCTTCTGAATAAAAAGGAAAGAAGAAGATTTAGTATTAATCGTAATTTTGTTGGTGATTATATTGGATTAGAAGATGCACCAGAGTTAAGGGCCTTGGTTGGTAAAAGAGAGAGAATAGAATTTGCGGACTCTGTTAATAAATTTGATAGACGATTTAAGGTGAGAAATGTGTAGTAAAAGTACTGTCATTGTGCTGTCATTGTCTTTTTGTATTTACTTTGCTAACCTGAAGGTCCAGAGTTCAATCCCGAGATAATGCCTTCAGATTTTTCAACTTGGTTTCCCCCTGTCAGTGATGCAGGTTTAGTTGTTCGGATGGGACAATAAACCGAGGCCCCGTGTGCTACAGGCTGTGCATGTTAAAGATACCTCGACAGTTGGAAATCGTAAAAAAATCAGGCTAAAGCCGCTGTCCTGGTAAATTTCCCTCATTGCACCCTGCATGGCGTTGCCCGTCTTCATTAGCCCACATGGTGCGCAAAAGTAGGACGTAAAACTCCATTCGTTTCATTTCCATCTGAAAATTGCATTAATAATTTGAGTAATTATGAAGTTATTTCAGTGTATAATTTTGTGAAAAGGCAAGCATATTCCAACTAAATGTCATTTTTATTATTTTTAGAGTGTAAAAAGAGATTTGTTATTAACAGCTAAAAATCTATCTTTAATAGGTTTAGAATTAGTAAGTATTATTATAAGTTATATTTTATTTACGTATTTTTCGATGGAAATCAATTTGAGAAGCATTCCCTTCTAGTATAAGATGTCTTTTGTCATTATCATAGTTCTTAAACTAGCAGTGAGCAATTAAAAATAATCATAGTTAAATGAAAGCAAAAACAGAATGGAGACTTTTATTTAATTTCTTATTTATACATCGGTATTACTGTCCTTTTAAACGTTGTTTGATTTATGGCAGTATGTGCTGTCATATAATCATGCTGCTCTTCAATGGTAAAGATTGTGAGCAAGAATAAAGTATATATTTGTTTTTCAGATTAAAAAAGGTCCTGAAAAAGGAGTTAAAAAGTTGGTTGTTAAAAGACAAATTCCAATTGATCAGATATCTTCTGTTTGTTTAAGGTAAATATTAGGCAAATAAATGTGAAATTGTAGATGCATTTATAATTGTTTAGGTTTGAAAATTCAAAGGAATGAAAAGAGATACTAAATGCAACAGCTACTTATCAGAATAGAAATCTAATGTTGGGTTTTCAAATAATTCAAGAAAAATGTTCCATGAGGAAATTAGACTGTCATTGTCATTAAGATTCCTATGTTTTGGATCTTATGTCATCTGTCATGTTGAGACTAATGTTAGAAAATCATATTGTAGTATTACTTTCTTTATATTTCAGTACTTTACAAGATGATTTTTTTATTATAAATGTTGTTAATGATTACAGTAGTTTTTTAGAATCAGTTTTTAAAACTGAGTTTTTAACTGTTTTATCTAAGAAATACAAAGAGAAAACGGGTAAAACAATTCCTCTTCAATTCTCAGATGTGTAAGTATAATGGTATACATATATTTCTTAATTTCTTGTGAACCAGAGTATCTTGACAATTAATTGTTACCGGAGCACCTCGTGTGCTTTTTTCATTTTATTTCTATCAAATATACATTAGTGCCAGAACTAATCAAATCAGGTCGGTTTTTCACAAATTTTCTTGAGGGAAAAACCTCTTAGATGCATGCTTCAAGGCTGTGTCGCTCCGACAGAGCTGCTTATTTTTTAATCAAACTTCACAGTTGTTGTCCCCCATTAAGTCAGTTTGCCCCCTATTTTAACAGGGTAACCCAAGTTTTGAGAGAATACAAAAATATCTTTGCTCTTCCTAAACTGTGTTTTATTTTTTCTCATATTGTTGCTAGACTGCCAGTTTTTACATGTATCAAAGTATATATTACTCATATAACAAATGATAATCTGTCTAATTACTTTCTGAACTATCCAACTGTCATCATGTTTACAATGTTTATATTATTTTAGATTAGAGTTTAGTGTGAAGAAAGAAGGATGGGGAGGAGGGGGAACTAGGACTGTCAAGTTTGTCAGAGGCTCCGGTGAACAAGCAGTGTTAAAACCATCTTCTAAAGTTTTAACTGTTAGTATAGGACCTGGTTTACCAAAAGATTCCAGTAAGTATTGCTATTTTTTGTATTAAAAACATGGATCATTGAACAGAAGAGGGTACAAAAATTGTATGACCTCTTTAATGGTAGAGATCTATATACCAATTATTGATGCACAGCTTTATAACTCAATATATTTGTGAACATCTGTAGAGGCTTCAATACATAAACATTCTATAATCAACTTTAGAAACTATACATGCATTGTTCATATTGTTTGAATGGGGCCTACCATAGATTATTTACTTAGATGTGTATAATTGGTGGTTTACATGTGAAATTTCTATATCAGTATATGCTTGACTTTGCTGTACAGTCTGCTTAATTTGATTAATTTTACCCTTTCTCCAATAGGGCCAGGTAAGAAGACAATGGGTAATGGAGCAACAAGACGACCTGCCAACACAAGACCAGGAATACCCCCACCCCAAGGTATTACAGCTAAAGGGCGTGGTCCTGCACCATCTAGACCAGCACCTTCAGTACCACCTTCTAGTTTAGGTAGAGCGCCACCACCCCCCATGACAAATCCACCTTCAAGAAGTCAAAGTAAGTGTAAGAACATTTCAAAAGAGTTGCATTCAATCATTTAAGATCTAAGAAATTATCAGCCATATGTGTTGACATGGAAAAACCATGAAAGATGGCATTGACGAGTGTACTTTTCAACATGTTCCTGCAATTGTTTTCAATAACGTATCTGCAGTGTGATCCCAGTGGTTGTTCTTAGCAAATCCAAAAGTAAATACAGCTTAAACTTTAAGCCTTAAAGTAATATTGTATGTTATTTTTGTAATGTAGCATCTTGAATTTCAAAGATGGAAGAGTCAGTTGCAAATTTTAATCCCTCAAAATACCAGGTACCAATGTGATAGTGATCTATTGGCCATAAAAGATTGTAGATGTTCATCTCGAAAACACCTTTCTACAATTTAAGTCAAAAATACCAAATAATATCTCATGTGATGTTTTTGTTTTTTTTTTAGTTCAAAGACAGACAAGTAAAGAGATTCAAAATAAATTAGTTAAACAACATTCTAGAACCAGTACTGGTGACAGAACACCATCTTTACCAAGGGAAGGTCAACAAAAACTTGCTAAAAAAGGAAAAGTTTTTAACAATAATGATAATGAATTTTTATCAACTCCCGAGGCAGGTGTTGCAGGGTAAGTTATCTAAAAACAATGTTTACATTTTGGAAAGGGGAAGAGAAATATGACATGAATCATAGCTACAAGATTAATTCAAAATAAACCTGGCAACGCGCAATCCTATCTTTTACTCTGTTTTCAGAATGCATATGTTGTAGTGATGATGTTTGTGTTTGTAGTTTTTTTTATCTATCTCTATCTGAGACTAATTTATGGCGTTGTTATTGTGACGTAATGTTTTTTACAGACAGAGCAATGAATTTTTTCTAATTGATGATTTATATTTGAAGCTAGTAACACTAACAGTGTTTATGAATATATTGATTTTACACATGTTCCGGTACTGTGAAATTCTGGTTTTTGTTGGGGTCATATTTAGTGGATTAACATTATATACACAAAAACTATGGAAAAATAGGAAACAAATAAAAGAAAGCACATTTTTATTGAAGTACAATCAGTCTATTTCTTTCACCCATTATTAGCCCATTAATTTATGGTCATGTATTTGAAGAAAAATCTGTCTAATTCAATGCCTGTGAAATAAAATCTGTCGCATGATTCAATTTGCAGAGGCCCAGCTCTTGCTTAGAGCAATAGAACTCTATCTCACTGTAGTCTAACAATTTCTCAAAATCATGTATTTTTGCTTGATATATGTAACTTGTCGTATGAATTGTAAATAACTAATTCTTATATTCCAACTCTAACTAATCAGACTAATTATTATAATTTAAGGCACAATAAAACTAATAGTATAAAGAATACTGAGTAAGTTTGATGCCTTGTGGTGTGTGTTTTGTTATAATCTTTTAGTCTCCCAATTACAGTTCAATAACTTTCCAATTTATAAAATATGGAAAGGTTTTAACTTATATTGATCCACAAATATGTTAAATTTTTATCATATTGATTGGTATTTTGAATATTGACCTATATCCAGACCTTTTTTTGTATTAATATTTGATAAATGGATGAATGGCTAAAAGGGATTCAAAATGTCAAGCTTTGTACTTATATCTTAACTTATATCAGAGGCCTCAACAGATAGTCTGTGAACACAAAGCCACAATATTTACAGCCTTTCTGACGAGGGTTCTGTTTGGCTGTATTTGCTGGCGTACAATCCAATCAAATCACTGCATTCCTTGTTACAAGAATAGTGGCTATTTCATTCATGGTATAAGTACGAAGTTCGTTAAAATGCTTGACATTGTGAAGATGCCTTTGTATGTGCATCAAGAATACTTAGAGCTTCTATTTGCACCATTTGAGTTTATAAATATTAGATGTTTTTGGCTGATTGATTTAGAATAATACTATTCATTTGTTACAGATGTCAGTTTTTATTCAAGCTGTGAATGAACATTTATTATTCAAAAACATTGCATGATTTTCATTTTTGGAATGCACTTTTTTTTCTTTTTTGCTAAAAACTTATTCACTTTAAGCACATATAGAACTGCATGGATTTAATAATGATATTATTAGATGTAAACATACAATTTTTTTTAAATCTCTTTCTCTGCGTCTTGGAAATGATCTCAAACTTTATATCATTTTGTAAATTTAAATTGAATCTAAATTTTAGGCTAAATTTGTTTAAGGCAAAAAAAAAAATCAATGCTCTGTTTTTTTTTTTTAGTGTACGTAGAATTGATCAAAATAAAAAGAAACCAAATCCAGGAGCTGGTCGTCCAAAACCAAGTATAAAACCTAAACCTAAACTGCCTCAAGCACGATGTTTGTATGCATATGATGCACAAGATACTGATGAATTAAGTTTTAATGAAGGTGATTTTATAGACATAGTAAAAGAAGGTGAGCTACTTCATCTAATATGTTGAGTTTGCTTTGAGTACAAACTTTAATTTGAATTCTACTAAAATATGAATTGTTGAAGTTTTCGCTTGTGACACAGAGAGGCTTTTTCTTTGAATACCTAATGTCACTCTGACTCTTGATATTTCCAGAATATCCTTTGAACAGTCCACATTGCTGATGATGTTTTCTTGCTAAACTTATCTTCCCATCCTTTTCTAATACAAGTAATAATTTAGCCACAAGCCATTATATATATATGTATGTTTAAGTGGGTGTATGTTACTATGTCTAAAATGTATTAGGATATTAAATGATAATATCAAGTCAAGGTGACATTTCAATAAAAATCTGTTTTAATGATTTCTTTATTGCTGTAGTTTCATGCTGAGCCCCCCACTGTGATTTAACTCCCATAGCTTATTAAACTTTAGAATATAATCTTTATTGACTTAAATTCAAATTATCCTTAAAACTATCAAAAGCCATAATATGAAGTATTCTCTTAATAAAATCAAATTTATTAGGGGCTTACCCTAGACTTACATAATTCGGCCTTAAGTTGTGCTTATAGCTTTACATACATTTTACATACCGGTAACTTTACATAGACCAAGATCAGCAACCTAGATCTTCAGTGTTGATCATACTTGTTTGGAAATTCTCTCTCACACAATTTTACACACACAACAAAATTCTACTACATGTATATAAATGAATTGGAACATATTCAGTTAACTCTATGACAGCTTTTAGGTGCTGGTAATTTAAAGCTTCTTTCAGGATATTTAATCATTCTTGTATACTCTTTTTTTATTTTAGATACCTCTGGTTGGTGGATTGGTAAATTACGAGGTAGAGAAGGACTGTTCCCTGCTAATTATATTGAAAAATTATGAACCTGAAGAATGGTTAACTACAGTAGTGGTAGATGGCTACTGAACATTCTTCATTTCCTTATATTACACCAACAATCTTTGTTTTAACTGTTGTATCTAAATTAATCCTTGGATCCTATGATATTTTTGGTTAATGTCTCTAAATTGTGTCTTGGGGATCAATTTTTAGATTCTTATTCTAAAACATTTACAAATTATGTCACAAAATATTCAAAAACAAAATTTCAGATGTAATATTTGATAACAAAATATTTCATTTTCAATACCCTTATATCGTAGATTAATAATTTTCAAATGTTATTTTTTAGAGTTTAGCATCATGAAAACTAAGGGCAACTTTTTAGTGTTTTATACTATTGTACATTCCGAAAGAAAGATCTGATAAAATTGTAAATAAATATTTAAAGTTTATTGTTATGGGTATTATATTAACTGAAATAACATATTTATACCCTAGTTCGATTAATTAATTCATGTGATATGCAAATTATATGTAAATTGTTAATGTATGCGAATGGTGTATTTTATTTTATTTTTATATTCCCAAATCAAGAGTCCTGAATAGATCTGGTGCCATTATATATTCAAAGTTTAGCCTTTTGAATAATTCGTGATTAAATCATTTAAATATTAACTTTAGAAGAATCTTTATAGACTACCCTTAATCTTAGTAACATTTACATGGTAGTTATATTTCAAGGATAAATTCACTGGTTCAAATAGACCATTAGAATTTACTCAAACTGTAAGATATTTTCAAATAACATTGATTTCAGCAATAATTATTTCCATAGAGCAATGTAATGTTTTTTTTATCCATCTGAAATATTAAAGAACTCTACTAGCAGTGCCTTCAATGAACTAGATTATGTGGTTTTTAATGTCATATAATATATATGTAAATGTCTGAATAAATACGAATGATATAAGCAATAATCTTGAAAATGAAATTTTGGTATAAGTTATTAATTAGAATTCATGCAATTCATATCAAGAATATCAATATATTTGATAAATTATGACATTCCATCCAAAAAGTGATGAATTAAAGGCATTGTAAAGAGGTTTCTAAGCATTTTATGTGCATAGGACACTGATATCATCAATTTGCACCAATGCAATTTTGAGTCAGACGTCTTTGGGTCATACAATTCCACGTA